AATTGTTTTCAGAGTCCAAAGGCATTTTAAACATTTGGCTAAGGGTGCAGAGTGTTGGAGTCATTGTGCTAGTTTGGCCCTGGCCCACATTGGGGGTATTTGGGGGTTAAGCACCCTACACACAGTGCAAGACAGATGGTGGGTCCTGCCCCTCCCGGAATATTAGGGGCAGACAGCATGGATACAGATCCCTGCTCAGCTCCCAGGTTAGTGTGGATGCTGACAGTGCCATGGTCTTCCCTTCTTACCCTGTACTGTGGGGTATGGCTATCTACAGTCCCCTAAATCTTCTCTTACGACTGGGGAGCCCTCCAGTGTGTATTACACTTTATAGACCCACCAGCCCTCAGAAACCTCCATTGGAAATCCCCAGTTGAAACCATGCCAGAGAAAGCCCAGCCCTTGGACCTGGTTCCTCTGGATCCATTCACCTAGATGTTTTATACTGATATAGTATTGCAAGGAGCATGCACTCACCAGCTCTTCTTTATTCTCAAAGGTGAGCAGGAAGGCAGTTTGAGAAATGCAGGAAGATTTACACTGTTCCCAAGTTCCTTTTTCAGGAGAAAAGAGATAGGACCTGTCCTCATGGGAAATCCACCGTGCTGGACACTTCTCCCCTGGAACAAACACACACCACAGATCAGTTGTCCCCACCCCCCCTCTCCTCTATGCTGGAGACATTGCTGTCAGAACCAGAGGGATGTCATGCCTGGCTTATTCCTTTACCCTCTATCTGGGGAAAGGAGCTGACGTCTTTTCCCCAGTACTGAGATGTGGGCAAGACCCAGGAACATGAGGCCCTGCCTGACAGGATCCAGCCTCAAAGTGAGATCAGGACAGTAATGACTGCTGGGGTTTGGGAAGTGGTTTTTGCTTCCTTGAAGGATTCTGAGAGGCCAAACAATTTTCCTGTCCTACAGCTGGATAAAGGCAAAATCCTGGGTATTTTCATCCCAGAACCACACTTTATTCTGTGTTGGGTCATTCAAAGGCTCCCACACTTTGAAAGTTTTCTGTTTAAATATTTACCTGTTTTAACATTTTTTCCCCCTAATCCTCCTTAATTCAAATGACACTTTATTTACACCCTGAAGGCCAAATCTTTTTTTTTTTTTTTATTTAATGTAATATCAAAACTTTTCTTTTGAACAAGGTTGCAACATTTTTTCCAACATTTCTTTGAATGTGAGAAGTTTGTAGCCATAATTCTGTGATCCTTACACAGAAACACTTTGTTGAATTGCAGTGGATCTGCATTTCCAGAGTAGAAAGTGGGCGGCCAGAAACTCTCTAGGGAAGCTCCACCATCTCCTATTGAGTGCATTGCCATCTTCAGGGCCAGGGTTAGGGCCACAGCTCAGGCTAGGTGGGAGGAAATCCATCCCCAGATGAATCTTTGGATTCTCTCAAGCTGAGAACAACAGAGAAGTGGAGTGAGTCAGGCGGGATGCAGGACAGTGAGGGCTCCATGTTCCTTACTCCTCCCTACAAGTGGGACCTCAATAAAACATCTCTCTGAGATTGTGAACATGCTGAAGGACAGGAGACATAAATGCAAAATATCCAGTCTCAAAAGATTGGAAAGCTGGGCTAACGCTAAATGGATGACGTTCAGTGCTGACAAGTGCAAGGTGCTATATTTTGGGAATACAAATAAAAAATCTAAATATAAAGTGGGTGACACCTGGGTGGATGGCAGCACTATGGAGAAGGCTCTGGGAGTCTAGGTAGATCACACACTCAGGATGAGTCTGCAGTGTGGTGCAGCTCCACAAATGGCAAATGTGGTTTACAGATGCATCAATAGAAGAATTAGGTACAAGACATGGGAAGTGATAGTGTCTTGACTCGGCACCGGTTAGGCCACTGGTTAGGGTATTGTGTGCAGATTTGGGCTTCACATTTTAAGAAGGATGTGGAGAAGTTAGAGGGTTCCAGAGACAGGCAACAAAGATGATGAAGGGGTTGGAAAACAAGTCATACAAGGAGAGGCCAAGGGAACTAGACATGCTCAGTTTGCAGAAAAGGCATTTAAGAGGGGACATGTTAGCAGTCTTCAGATACCTGAAAGGCTGTCACAAAGCAGGGAAACAACTTGTCTGTCTTGCTGGAAAGAGGAGGAGGCTGTGAAGCAACAGCTTGAAGTTGCAGAAAAATAGGTTTAGATTGGATATAAGGAAAGTCTTCTTCATTTAAAACAGTGAGACAGTGGAATATACTGCCAAAGGAGGTCATGGACTCTCAGTCACTGGAGTTATTTAAGAACTTGGGCAGTCACTGGTAGGGTATGATAGAGGCATAGCTAGACCTAGGTTCAAGTATACTCATTCCCCATGCTTGTGGGCTTTGCTGGTTGCCATATGGGGCTGGGAGGGATGCCTTCCTCAGAGACATTAGCTGCTGACTGGAATCAAGGCTGAGGATTTGGACTGCAAAGTGCCAGTGGTGCTGCTGGGACTTAAAGCTGGAGGTTGCTGGCTGGAGGGTCTTTCCCCTCCTCTCAAGGTCAGATGGATCACCATATCTGGGATCAGGAAGGAAAATGTTTACAGACTGGGCACGGGGTGGTTTGCTTTCCTCTGAAGCAGGGGCCATGACCCTCTTGCTGGGGATCTCTTCAGCATGTATAAATAACATTAGAGGAACAGGACATTGGCTTCTGTGGCCCTCTGCTTTATCTGTGCAAGGTTAGGGTGTTAAACCTAGTGCTTGTGTCAGGGTTGACAGCATAGTTTGCTAAGAGGTTAGACAAGGGATTTGTATAGGATGGTTTGGACAGGGGATGATGCTACCTCAGACAGGGGGGTTAGACTACATGACCAAAGGAGGTCCCTTTCCACCCTAGTTCTCCATTTTTAAAGCTCAACAGTATATTTAAGGAAGACAAAACTCCGCAGTAAAAGGACGGACTCCCAAATAAGTCTGGATCTTACCTGAGTGCGTGCATCTCCTGCTATTTCATCATTTACCTGTATCACGAGGCTGTTCCTCTGGCGTTCCTGAAAAGCCTGGCTTCTGGCCATGGCAGGATGTCAACAGCTGGGTGTTATTTCCCTTCTTTCGGCCTAGCTCTCGGCCCAGCTCGCTGACTGAAATTTCAGAAGATCACAACATTGTTACAACAGAGTTTCACAGATCCAACATTCTCTGACTGCAGTGACACAAAGGACCTGATTGTACTAATACAACAAAGAATTACTACTTGCAGAATTTTTTTCCTATCCAGCATTTTTTCCACTGGGGGAAATAATGGTTATTTCTCAATTGTAAGCCCTTCTGCAGAGCACTTCCATTTTGAGATCACACGTGCTGGAACTGTGGCAGGATGGCAATGGAAACCTGCCTGGTCTCCTGCTAACTCACCTTGCCGCATGCTTCCCTGCAATTTTCTGTCCAAATAGTTTGGCCTTAAACTGCATATTTGGAGGGTGCCACAAGGACCCAGGGCAGTTGATGTTGAGCTACCTACTGGCCATCCCTCCTTCCCTTCAGCCAAGTACATGCAGATCACCCTACATCTTTCTCCATATACTGCTCTCAGCCCTCTGACTGACATGCTTGGTGCATCATGGAAGTCAAATGACTTTAGTTGCATCACTGGAGATTTAGTGCAACACGGGCAACCAGCAATGGGGGCCCTGCTCTGTTACCGAGAGAGTGATAAATTGAGGACTGTGCCTCAACTGAGGCCGGAAGAGGTAGTCTGTGAGCTACAGGAGCAGATCTAGAGGGGTGCACTCGTGCACTTACACCTCCTTTTGAACTGTGCTCGACCCAACATTTAAAACCAACTTCCTGGCAGTGGCAACAGAATTTCTAATTAGGCAGTGTTGCCTAATTAGGCACTTGACTTCCTGGTTTATTATAATCTACCTGATCCTTTCTAAATATTTTGTTCTAGAAGTGTTAAGGACACTCTCTTCTTTTTACTGGTCCTGATGACCACTCAAGTTAGTCCCTGTGGGTGCTTTTCCACATACTCGGCATTTAGTCACAAAAAATGTTCCTGGTTTAATTGTGTTTCTTAGATTAAGATGGCTAAATAAGTAACACGGGCATGATTTACCACACAATGTCTTATTATGCTATAACTAGTAAAATGCACCAGGGGTCACATCAGAACAATTTTACTCTCCTGCCCTTTCAGTACTAGTTTACTGGCAGGTGGCCTCTTAGGACAAGAAATGCCCAGCATGACAGACAATGAGGGGCCCTGCTCTGGGCCCTGGAAGCTCACACATGAGGAAGGGCTGCAAGGCCTGCTCAGAGGGCAGTAGTCGCTCACACTTACCCTGGCCATTGTAGACTCTGAGTCCTATCATCAAAAGCAGGCACAGCACCTGGGCCCCTAGCGCCAGTGCAAGGGGCAGCCAAGAAGACGATGCCCTGGGAGACACTGACCCAAAAAGGGAAAGAAATGAACAGGAAGGTGATGAAAACAAACCACTTCTTACCCAAGAATTCAGGTCAGTCTGGAGCTCACGGGAACATTTCCAGCCTTAGAGCAGGACCCCACACAGCCCAGGAGCAAACCGCTGAGCAGACAGGTGCAGGGAGAGGACAGAGAGGAAGGGCTCTGCCAGCACCCAGGGCAGAGGTGCAGGTCAGGGGGCAATTCTGCTGCCCAGTGGGGAGGGGAGGGGGATGGCATCTCACCTCCTGGCTCCCCTCCCTGCAGCTGCTACTGCTGTGCCTGGTGCTGCAGCATCAATGGTCTGTGGCTGCTGCCCTGGGGCCTGGCAGGGGTATAGGTTTGCCAGGGGATGCCCCTGGTGTGCTCCCTCCTCCCCCAGGTGTGGGGCTGTGCCTCCCATGGCGAAGCCTCTGGGGTGGGGCAGAGAGGGTCCTCCCTCCCCCTCCACTGAGACACACTGCTTGGCATGGGGCTCTGCCTGCCCAGCTCCTCCAGGTGGGTGGTGCAGGGCTACCCTTGTCATGACCAGGACTCCTGTAGGGAGGGGTCATCCCGGTCCCCCCTCTAAGTCAGCACCCAGGGCTGGTGCCTCACACATCCACCCTGAGTTACACTGTTGGGAATGGAGACCAAGGAAGCCAGGAAGCTGGGAGAACGTCTGGGCAGATGTGTGAGGGAGGTGCCAGAGCTGGAAGACAAGCATGTCCTGCTCCTGGCAGCCCATGGGTAGGGCTGGGTCCTGCACCTGGCAATGGAAACTCTTAGGAAACAAATTTGCATGGGGAAGCCCCAGATACATCTCCCATGAGTGTCAAGTGCACTAGGGGGAAAGAACCAAGGCATCCTTTATGGGAAGGACAATAATGGGTTCAGTGGATTCAAAGCCTGTAATAGGTGATAGAGGAGGGCCCCAGGGCTACACTGTGAGGAGGAGCTGAGCTGCTGTAGTCATGTCCATCACTTTCGGGAACATACACTAAGAAAAAGGGAGCGAGTGACCAGCACTGAGGGAGGGAGCAAGGCTGTTTTCTTTCTATCGTGCTGTGATGTGACAGAGGGGAACTGGGAAAGCTGGGCTCTAATCCAAGCTGAGCTCATGTTTTTGCCCCACAGACCCCTTTACCCACATGGTACCTCTGTGCCCAGCAGGCAGATGAGTCTGTCTCTGCATCTTTGGAGAAGTTCCCAACCGGAGGTGTGATGAGAGGTCCTCCTGTCCCCTCGTTCCCAGTGGGGTCTAGCAGAGACGGGTAAGACTCGGCTGAAGTGCATTCAGGAGTGGGACTTGAGGAGGACTTACTAGATCTTTGAGCAACTTCAACGCTGAAATGTAGCGGCTTAGACTTACAGGTGGGAGGGAAAATTTTACCCATCATAAGAAAGAACATTATGATTTCAAACAGGTTTCTAGTCTGCATCTGGGCAAGGCAGGATGATTTTCAAAATATCTCATAAAATAGACAGAAGTGAGACTGAGAGACAGACAGACAGAAAAAAATCCCCCTGAAGTCGCAGCAACCTGGGCCTTCCCCTGGGACAGGAGAGACCGAGGATCTCAGACTATTCCCATCTCTGCACACAGCACCCGGTCGTCTGGAGATTTCAAGAACAAGGCAGTGATCTGCCATGGCCGGTGCCATGAATAAGGACAGGGCTCCTTAGTGCCACTTTTAGCACTTCCCCAACATTTCTCCCTGATGCTCTCCAAGCCCATTACACATCACTATATCCCAAGAAGCTGGCTGCCATCTGCTCTTTTCTCCACATTTCCCCTTGTGGACGCTCCCTCAGCCAGCGGCAGAGACTGTCACAGCACTGCTCCACCCTGCCCGCCCAGGCAAGAATCCAGCTTCTCCATGTGCTCCCCAGGACGACTTTTCTCCGGAGGAACAAAACTGCCTTCAGCTACAACAGGTCCCACAACTGACCCCAGCTGGGTGACAAATCTCTCGGCTTACACTCCCAAAAAATAAACCAGCTAAACCCTCCTCACAGCCCTGCTGTCTATATCTTTCTTATTTAGTTAGTCCACCCTGCCTTCTCCTACAGCAGTCCCAGCCCTGGGACACTACAGATGGGTAAGAAATGGCTGGAAGAGATTCAAGGGTGGGACGTGAGGAGGAACTGGGGACTGAGCAGCTCAGACCCTGCAGAGGAGCAGCGCAGACCCATGAGTGAGAGGGAAGCGGTCACCTGTCCTGAGAGACTGGTCATCTTTCCAAACCATGGCCCCATTCTGCCAAGGCAAAAGGGAGTGGGCTCTCATAACAGGGGAAGAGACAGAGAGAGAAACTCCTCCCTGAGGTGGCAGCAGCCTAGGTACTCCCAAGGGACATAAGGGAGTCAGACTGCTTGCGGACGTTAAAAATACACAAAGACCATTCTTTCACAGAGCTGGGTTGAGGTGATATGCTGCTTCTTCCAGTAAAGCACTTTTTTTTGTCTCCAAGAAACCACAAGCTCTGGCAGAACATGCCCATCTGGAAGCAGCTGCACCTGGTCAGTCAGTGCTTGGAGGAGGGCTGCACTGACCTGATGTAGCTGGTGCAAAAATCTGGGAGGTGAGGAGCCAGCAGAGGACACAGATGGAGATCTGTACAATCGGCTTTCAGCAGCACTCTCATTCCCTCCTCAATTCCCCACTCGCAGTACATGCACACATGAACTGAGACATGTGCCTGTGTATGGTCTGTGGTTACTGTTTGCCTGCTGATACTGTGGCTCCCTCAGTGAGTGGCAGGAGCTGTCGCTGTCATGTAGCAGTGCTGCCTCCAGCCATCCCAGAGCAAAGCTCCTGTATTTTTTCCATGCACACCCCAGGCAGCCTCCCCTCTGGCTGAACATGGTTCCCATCACCTATAACTGGTCCCAGAACTGACCCCAATCACAGGACAAAACCTTCCTCCTCCCAACACAGGACAGCTGAATCTTGCCTACTGCTATGTACTGATGTAGCTGTAACAGCCCCGGGGCCCTGCGGAAGCCATACCTGTGTGTGTCCCCAGGGCAGTGAGCAATGGCCGGTGATCAGGAGCAGAGTGCAGAGCGCTGCATCCCTGTGGCTGGTGCGCTGCGTGAGTGCAGGTGTGCACAGAGGCAGAAGCTCAGGGGTGTATGTGACTGAGGGTGGGGTTACAGTCACCCCAAGCTGCTTGAAGGGGCCCAGCTCTCCCAGGACAGTAAAATTGATGGCCTGTCCCCTGTCCCAGCACAAACCACACAGGAAGCCCTCGCTGCTGCTCTGAGATGTGCTGCTCCTGCACAAAGAGCACAGGGCTGGGACCTGCACTGGGTGGGTGACAGCTGAGGGGTGGGGTGGGGGATGCTGCACAGTCTGGGTGGGGGGTGTGATGAGAAATGGTGATGTTGCTAAACTCATGTGTGTGTCACATGGCTGCTCAACTGTGAACACAGCTTTTCTATGAAAAAAAAAAAAAGAGATGAGGTTTCAGCTCCGCAGTGGTGCCTAATAGACTTTAGCACACAGTGAAAACTCATTTCCATAGGAATCAGTCGCTCTGGCAAGTCAGATTCCCTCGGCCCCTTTGAAAACCCACCCCAGCGGCTGAGCAGGAAAAACTGGGCAGGATCTAGGAGCAATCTGAAGTTCAGAACCTGTGAAGGATGAGGGGATGGTGTGGCCTGAATATTTTCATTCCCAGAATAATGCCCAGTGTTACCACATGTGGTGAGCATGCCGGTAGCAGCCCGGCTTGATGGCTTGAAAGGGCTTTGACCTATTGATGGGACTTTCCCACCAATCAGGAGGTAATGAAAAAGAGGCTGCCCTGCCCCTGCCTGTGGTGAGGCGAGTAGCCTGGACTTGGGTGAGGACCCTACAGCCCCTCACCCTTTTTGCAATCTTGGGGTGGAGCCCCTGGAGGCTATAAAAGAACAGTGTGACCAGCACACAGACACACAACTGTGAGGGAGAGAGAAGAGGAATGATGGGTTAAATAAGAGCTGGGAGGAGCTGGCCAGTGGGTCAAATCCAGTGGCCCCAAAAAAGCCTGAAGACCCCTTTTTGTCACCGGATGAGGAGCAGTGAGTGACCACCTCCCAGCCCCACCGCTGAGAAGCAAGGAGCGGTGCACAGCCTAGTGCATGGGGTGGGACCCTGGGAGCTGTAGGAGGTGGCTCGGGTCTACAGCTCAGCAGTGCATGGGTGGCGCATGGGAGAGACCCTGGGAGCTGCATGAGCTACCAGTGGCCAGTGGGCCCAGAGGAAGCCAGAGGCAGTTGGAGCCATAGCAAGAAAGGCAGCAACTTGCTGGAAAAGAGAGGAGGAACCTTCAGCACAACCCCAGAGTCATGAGTTACCAGGGAAAATGACTCCCACATGGAAGGGTGAATGCAGCTGGGTTAGTAAGTCTGACACTTGCAGAGGAAGCCTAGAGGGACAGGGCTCCCCAAGTCTGAAGTTTTAGGTTACTAAGAAATATTTTGTCTGGGCTGGGTGGAAAGCCTAGAGGGCACTGGGGAAGCTTCTCCCCTCCCCCACGCAGCCACAGAAACGCAGCCAAGGCTCCAGAGCAGCCGGGACCTTGCTGTCCCTGTAAAGTTAACTTGGGTTCAAGGGTTCCTGTGTCTTATATTCTCTGAGAAGACACCTTATATTTTATGTTTATTGTCATCTACCTATGAATTGATAGAGTCTAAAGTTGTATCATTTATACTGAAATATTAATTTAATCATATGGGGCTGAGTGTTCATTTAAAATGGAAGTATAGAAATGTATATGTGTGGCAGTGCACCTTTGGGTGCCTGCCACTTTAAGGGCAGAGGCAGGCAGCTACCAGGTGCCTGCTGAGGGCGGCCCTTTTGGAACAGCAGGTACATAAACGCTGCAGAGAATCCCAGGAACAAGTGTAGCAAGCTGGTATTGAAGAGGTGGAGCTGGTGGTTCTGCTAAAGAAATAGGAATAATGTATGGTAAATATTGACCTGAGACAAATGCAGAAAGCATCATGTCACATCTAAGACAACTTGTTAAGGGAAAGCGGAAAAAGGCCTGTAGATGCATCTTTAAAAATATTTCCTAGAAACAGTTGTGCTTGCTGAAAAACAGTGAATGGGGTGGCTGGAGAAGAGAAAGCAGTAAATGAGGTGACAGGGCACAAGAGCAATAAGTGAAGGAGATGGCCATTGGCTCAAGGTCCTGTTCCTGGGAAACTGGGAAAGTAACAGCTCTTTTCCAAAGAAATGTCAAAAGTCATGTGTGCTGTCATAGAAATTAAGGATGCAAAAGCAACAGAAGGTGAACTAATGACTGGCACAGGGTCCCAGGGAAATGCTAAGGGGAAAACAACATATAGGGTGAAATGCCCAGGAGCTCTGTATAGGGTGAGGTGTCCACACTGTGTTGGAGCACGATGCACAGGGCTGGGGTGTCATCACTATCCGTATCATCTGCAGCTTTCTGAATGAATACCTCTTTCTGTGCATGGCAGTGGGGCTGCTGTAACTACTCCAACTATGCTCCATTTAACTCTTGCTCCTGCTCCTGAATCAGGTGACATGCAAATACAAACACAATGTCAGCTGGATTTTACAGTCAAATACATCATCCACAACCAGCTTTCCAGTACATGTATTAGCCCCAAGTTTGCTTTTCAAAAGGGCTTATGCTGCTATGCCTGGATATTGGGAGAAAGTGAGTAAAAAAGTACTTGATTTTTTTTCAAATTGAAGTGTGTTTTGGCATTTAACTGAATGCCAGGGTCCCAGCCTCCTGTCTCATTTCCCCGGTGGGGCAGCAGGCAGTGAGTTAGCTGCTAGGTGCCAGCTGCCTCACTGGTGGATCAGGTCAGAGGGATGGGCACTGCCCCTCCCCTGCAGCTCTTTTCAAGGCCTGTGTCCCTGTTTCAGGAGACAGGGCTCAGATCTACCTGCTGCCAGGGCAGGGAGACATTGTCCCTGCCCTAATAGCAGGCAGCCCCCTAGGACCAGGAGACAACTGCCTTCTGACCCAGTGATCCCTGCCAGCCCCTGGGATAGCACCCAGGGGAACCTGGAGATCCCTCTGGTGGTGGCAGGGACCTTCTACAGGGCTGCAAGGAACTGAGTGCTAATCTTCTCCCTAATCCCTGGATGTGTAGATGCCTGCCAAAAAACTCGTACTGCAGATTAGCCTACACCAGAATAAATCTGGGGTGGAGTTAGTGCATGTG